GTTGGTAATGAGGCCAGCCCCTCAGGCCTCTCCATCGGTTCCTTACTTCATGTGAGTGTGTTGCGTTCCTGTCTTGGAGCTCCGGGTTGAAGTATGGTCCCTCATTCCCTGTGGAGCCACAATCGACACCCTCCCCCTGTGTGGGTTAGTGCCCTGTTCCCCTGGCTACTCATACCTTTTTCCCTCCTCCCTTTTAATGGGCTACTATATGTATCCCATATGTATCCTTGGATTTAGTCTAGCCTCTGCCATATTACCTGGACCTTACTCCAGGGACGTACGTATACAGCATCTTCTTCCCTATGCCCTTTCTGAAAAAAAATTTTTTTGAGCTTACCTTGGCAGACTCATGTAGTACTTGTCCTTTTGTGTTTGACTTACTTCACTTAGCATAATTTCCTCCAATTCTTCCCATGCGGCAATGTGTTTCATGCATTCATCTCTGCTTTTTAGGGATACATAATACTCCATTGTATGAACGTACCAGAGTTTTTTAATCCATTCATATGTTGATGGAAATTTGGGCTGTTTCCAACTCCTTGCGTTTGTGGACTGTGCCGCGATGAACATTGGAGCACAGATGTCTGGCCATGGTTTGTTTCTTGGCTCTTCCGGATATATGCCCAGTAGGGGGATTGCTGGATCATAGGGTAGCTCAATTTCCAACTGTTTTAGATATTGCCAAATCGATTTCCATAGTGGCTATACATACCTATAAGTCCACCAGCAGTGGACAAGAGTTCCTATCTCTCTGCATCCCTCCAACACTTATTACTTTCTGATTTCTTGAATTGGGCTATCTCTGAGGGTGTTAGGTAGTATCTCATAGTTGTTTTAATTTGCATTTCTCTTATTGCTAGAGATCTGGAACATTTTCTCATATATTTATTGGCCATTTGGATTTCTGCCCTTGAGAAACTCCTGCTCAGGTCCTTTGCCCACCTCCTGAGTGGACAATTGGTTTTTCTCTTATAGTTTAGCAGTGTGTTATAGGTTTTAGTAATAAGGCCTTTGTCAGATGGGTCATTGCCAAAGATGTTTTCCCATTCTGTAGTTCTCTCTTATTACTCTCTTGGTGAATTATTTCGATGTACCTAAGTGTTTTATTTTTAGTATGCCCCACTGGTCAATTTGTGCCTCCTCTGTGTTGGTGTCCTTCCCGATTTCCGATGACCTATGTAATCCCTGTGCCAAGGTTCTCAGGTTTGACCCAGTTCCCTCATTGATGGCCCTAATAGTTTGGGGTTTAAGCTCAAGGTCTGTGATCCACCTTGAGTTTATTCCTGTGTATGGAGTGAGGTAAGGGTCTTGCTTTTTTAATTTAACTGGTCTAGCAGATCCCTTCAAAAGAGTTTTGATTGGGCGTTTTTTTTAAACTTACTCTGGTACTTATTTGAACCCAAAACTCCCAAAATCTAACTCACTCACGGAGTTGATGCTGACTCAGAGAAATCCTCTAAGACAGAGTTGAACTGTCCCTGCGAGAGTCCCATATTGTAACTGTTTAGTAGACAGTCCCCTTTGTCTCCTGAGGAGCAGCTGGTGGTTTAGAATGACAGACCTTGTGGTTAGCGGCCCAATGTGTAACCATTACACCACCAAGGGTTTATATGAATCAAAATCAAGTGTCAAAAAGGTTTGCATTCCAGGCTTCTCTCTCCCCTTAAGGCACACCATCTAACATTCTTTCCACTGCCACAAGGGTCACTTATAGTTAACTACTACAGAATGAATTGCGATTTCCCAAAGGCACAAAATGCCACGTTTCTGGGCATTTATACTTAATTGGAGTTCTGGTGGCATCATGGGAGTGATAATACAGGGCTGCTCACTGCAAGGTCAGCAGTTGGAACCCACCGTGGCTCCATGAGAGAAACACTGGGCATTCTTCTTCTCCTTGTTTTTCTTTTTCTCATTTCTCCCCTTTTTGGGCTAATAGTTCAATCATTCAATCATATCAAGAATTGGTTAATCATTTCTACATCCATGTTGGAGCATTTCCCCTTCCCCAATGGTTATATAGCCTTTAAAATGAATTGTGCAATCACAATCTTTGCTAGTGCTTCCACACCCCCTTCATTGTTTAGGATGTTGCTTTCTAATCCTCTCAAAAGGTAATCTCAGAAACTCACCGGGGAAGTTCTAAACTGTCATATAGGGGTGCTATGAGTACGCACTGACTTGATGGTAGTGAGTTGAGTTCCCATTTGGAACTCCACTCCCTAATGTCTTAATTCAATCTTTAGGTCTTAAAGGATGTCTCACCATCTTGCTATTATGACACTATCATTCTATGGGTAAGGAACCATGGGGGTACAGTGGGCTAAACGTTAGGCTGCTAACCACAGGATTGGTAGTTCAAGCCCACTAGCTGCTTCCCTGGAGAAAGATGAAGTTGTCTGCCCTTGTAAAGATTTCCTCTCAGAAATCTTGGAGCAGTTCTCCTCCCTCCTGTAGGATCATTATGAATCAGAATCAACTCCACAACAGGGAGGCTATATCTTGCTTATCTTAGGGTCCATTCACACCATGCCTTCCACAGAACACATGCTCAATTCATGTGTGGGGAATAAATGAACCAGTTAGCAGAATCCTTAATTTATTAAGAATTATTTTCCCTTGAATTGGTAAATAAGTCAAGCAAATAACAGGTATATATCTTTATCTTTAGAGAAGCACAGATGACAAATGGTAAGGGAACTAACAATTAACCATCAGAACACAGAATGTTAGCAAGTTTCATGGTTTGTTTTTCAATACAGCAAAACTCTTAACTCTTAAACAGCAATAAATGTGACTAATGCCATTCACAAACTTAAAATGCGACCTAATTAATCTTGCTGTTAAAAGGAACAGTATTTTCAAAGTACCAAAAGGAAAAAAAATCAAGTCAAATAACCCATATAGAAGAGGAAGGCAAAGATCTTACCCATTTTCCCCCTCCCCCCCATTTGATCCTGTCCCTTCACTACTTGGACATTTGCCCGTTTCAAACAGTGAAGAATCTACCTCAGTCGCTGCTGGGGGAAGGGCCGGCTCAGACAAACACAGAGGAACAGATGTGTCAGGAGCACTACATGGGGGGTTAAGTCTGGCTTGAGCTCTCTCTTCCTCCTCTCTCAAAGCCTCCTCATAGCAGGGTGAGAAGGAACTGACATCAGTCCCATTAAGCTGGGCCAAAAACTCCAGGACTTTCAATTTTGTGGTTTCAGCATAAGCTCTTGGACCCCAGAGGAATTCATAGCGAATAGGATCACTGTAGGGGACTTGGCGGTACTCTAGGTACTTTAACTGCACCCAGTCTTTAGTGACGACCTGCCTAGGTTCCCCATAGGTGTCATGCTCCATCCCAGGCTCTAATCCCATAATATCCAGCAATTCCCATATATCTTCCTCGGGGATGCAGTTGCCCTCCAGTAAGATCACACCTAGGATAATCATGAGAAGGCCATTTTTGGGAATGATATGGCCTTGATCCACTACCTCATCGTAGGTGAGATCCAGTAGGTGGACAAGGGCATAGGTCTGAGTGATAGGATCTATTTCCTTTATGGAAAGGCCACAATGTGTCTCTAGAAATTCACAGGCTTTCTTAAAGAGCACAGTGAATTGGATCATGGAACTTTTAATAATAATATCTATTATTTCTGCCTTTGTGATATACTGCTGTGTTTGATACTTGTAGAGCAGAAGCTGCACCAAATTATTTGCCATCTCATCAAATGAGGTCAGGGTGCTTGTCTCATCCATTGAGGTGCTTAGATCTTCCTCACTTGAGCTAGTCAGAGCACTAAGGCTATCAGAGATCTGAAGACTAGTGAATATGTCAGGAGCGGTCAAACGTTTCCCTGTCTGAGTGAGCAGATCCATAGGAGATAAGGAGGAGGGGGTATAGGAGCTGGTGAATTCGATGGAGAATGGTGACGAGTCAGAAGAGAAGGATACATTAAGAGGGGACATGGATGGAATAGGAGAGGCGACACTGGGCAAGGATAAGGGGGGTGGTGATATGAGTGAGGAAGAAGAGGATGAGGATGCCTCTTCAGTAACTGTTTGTAAGGGTATATCTACTAGGTCTGATGTATCCTTCAAGTCCAGTGCTTCTAACAGGCCAGGTGCCTCCACCAGGCCTGGTGCCTCCACGATGCCCGGTGCCTCCTCCATGCCCGGTGCCTCCACCAGGCCCAGTGCCTCCATGAAGCTCAGTGCCTCCACCAGGCCCGGTGACTCCACCATGCCTGGTGTCTCCACCATTCCTGGTGCCTCCACCAGGTCCAGTGCCTCCATGAAGCCCGGTGCCTCCACCAGGCCCGGTGCCTCCACCAGACCTGGTGCCTCCACCAGGTCCGATGCCTCCACCAGGTCTGGTGCCTCCACCAGGTCTGGTGCCCCCACCACATCAGGTGCCTCCAGTAGATCCAGTGCCTCCAGTAGGTCAGGTGCCTCTATCAGATCGGGTGACTCCATCGGGTCAGGTGGCTCCAAAAGGTTCAGTGCCTCCATCAGGTCAGGTGCCTCCATCAGGTCGGGTTCCTCCATCAGGTTGGGTGCCTCCACCAGGTCGGATGCCTCCATCAGATCCAGATCCTCCACCAGGTCTGGTGCCATCACCAGGTCGGGTGCCTCCAACAACTCCGGTGCCATCACCAGATCTGGTGCCATTACTAGGACTGGTGACTCTACTAAATCCGGTGCCATCACCAGGTCCAGTGCCTCCACTAGGTCCGGTGCCTCCACCAGGTCTGGTGCCTCCACCAGATCTGGTGCCTCCACCAGGTTGGGTGCCATCACCTGGTCCGGTGCCATTACCAGGACCGGTGACTCCGCCAGGTCCGGTGCCATCACCAGGTCCAGTGCTTCCACCAGGTCTGGTGCCTCCACCAGGTCCGGTGCCTCCACCAGATCCGGTGCCTCCACCAGGTCCGGTGCCTCCACCAGGTCCGGTGCCTCCACCAGGTCCGGTGCCTCCACCAGGTCCGGTGCCTCCACCAGGTCCGGTGCCTCCACCAGATCCGGTGCCTCCACCAGGTCTGGTGCCTCCATTGGGGGCTGAAGGCTTTGTTCTAGTGTATCGCCATGTTGGTCAGGAGAATGAGACATGATGACCCTGGTTCGGGGAAGAAAGCAAGTGTTTGAGGAGGGTGGGGAATGGGAATCCACAGACCTAGTGAGGACAGGCAGTGTGTGAACAGCCTCCTCTGAAAAACTCAACTTTGGTAGCTCTTACAAGGGTCAACTTACAGGTTTTCTGTTTTGGTTCTCTTGTTTCCTGTCCTCTTGGATGATCTGCCCCTGAAAATACCTGAAGGAAGAAGTGGGACAGTTCCTGAGGGTGCATTTGGCTGACATAACCCAAGAATTATAAGGCTGACAATAGGGTTGGTGAAGTTGGGTATTGTGGGGTCACCTCTTTCTGGAGTATGTGCTAGGTATTGGTAGATATTTCCTGTTCTCTTCTTCACTCCTGGTAGTACCCTGGCCTCCTTTACTCAGATGACCTGAGGGAATTTTTGATCAATGTCCTCCCCTCCTGATTCCTTGAGTTCCTGTGAATAGAATGGAGATATACATCAGCATGTATGTAGACTACTAGCACAGTCCTGAGGCTTCCTGCACTGGCAGGAGCAACAGGGCCACACTTTGTGAAGCCCTCACTGCTCAGGTTTGGGTCGTCTCACCAGTGTCCATTCCTTGTCCTTATTACCAGGGCCTCTGTCCCAATCTTCTTCAGACCTGAGGCAAAACTCTCAGAATAACAGCTCACATACTCGAGACCAACAAGGAGGATGTAAAGGGCTACTATCTCTGTACATATCTGCTAAGTTGATTCAGGTGTGACAGGAAGGGATGGCTGAACTCTGTTGGGGTTCTTCTCTCTGGACCAGGGGCTCATCTCAGACCTCACCTTGGTATGTGGCAAGGGTTGGGACTCAACTGGCTCGGTTGACTAGGCATCGTCTTCCTTTGACCAAGAATTCACTTGTATTAGGCAACAAAGAAAAAAGTAAGAATGTACAACAAAGAAAAAAAAAAAAGAATGTTCTATATCCAGGCACCATGCGACACTCCTACTATGGTGTGGAATACCTGCAGCTATTTCCAGCCATTCATTCTCACTCATCACTGGGTCTGTAATATGCCTCTGGAAATCAGATTCTACTTGCTTAGTCCAAGGCCTAACCTCTGCTGAGACACAAACCCCAATCTTTCAAAGGCAAAGCAGAGGTACACCGCATCCAACATCCCTGCCCAGGTACTCTCAGGCTGCAGAACAAAAGATACCTAGATTCTGTTGGGTCCCTTCCTTTCTGGGGTGGGGAGATCACTTTAAGTTCTCACCAAGAGTCCTTGCAACTGGCTTCTGACAAAAACACTCAACTTCCGGAGATACTGCCCTATTGTGTCCAAGGTAACATGCTATATCTGGCCACCATGGCTAGGACCTTCACAGGGTTGGGGACGAACAGAGCATGGCTGTTCTGTGTGGGGTCCTTTCTTTTTAAGAGCGTGAGAAAAAGTCAGTTTTCACCAAGGGTCTTTATATTCATGCTGGCAGAGCCTGGAATTCCTCCCTTTGCTGACCTAAGCTAACCTCTGCAGATCAAGACCCCCTCTGCCCTGAGACCATGAAACAAAAATGAAGAGGTGCGCTATCTAGACCTCGCTACGTGGGGTCACTCCCAGGGCTGACAAAAGGCATAAAGTAGAGCTGGGAACCTTGTTAAGGTATCATCATATGTACTCTTGAAGGGTCTTGCATCCCCTTCACTTCTGCTATCTTAAGGGAAGTTCCCCACAGCTCAAAGTCCCCATCTCTCTGAGACACCTCTGAGCATCCTGCTTAGGCTGCCAAACATTGATGGCAGCACAGGTTTGGGTGGCTCTTAGTAGGGTAGTTCATCTCAGTCGCTCTCAGGATCCCCATCTTGCTCCCACGGGACCAAGACCCCTTCCTCTGCCATCACAACGGCTGTCCTGGGACAGAGCTCCACCTCCCCAGACACCCAAGGTGTTTAGTCCAGAAACACCCCATCTGAGGACTATGTCGGGGACTTTCTAGTGCTGACTGTTGGGGGGCAGGTCTGGAGAGGGAAGGGAGAAGCAGCATGAGATGGGAAGGAGCAGTGACACACTGATTGGAGAGGGCTTCTAACCATGGTGGAGACCCTCTCTGTCCACTCTCGGGTCTCTTACATTGGCTCATGGCTGCTGTAAATACTGGAGTCTCCTCCCTCAGATGAAGTTGGACCTCCCTGAGGCCCAAGGACAATGTCAGGAAACCCAACACCAGGAACTCCGCCTGAGGCTTCCCAGGGATGATAGCTGGATCAAGGGGTGGGGTGGGGTGGTAGGAGGGGCTATGGGAGTAGAGTGGAGCGAGGGGGTGGCACTTGCAGGAGCGTGGAGGATGGTGATGTCTGTCCTCTCCCAATCATCTCTCCTTGCCTGCTGGCTGGGTCTGGGACACCTCTTGCCTGACTGGAGTCCAGACGCCCTCAGATAAATGCCCTAATTTTCTTGCCACTCAGCGGCTCTACTGCCGACTTTGGGAAGGTAAGAAAATAAAGAAGAAACCAAAAATTAAGCACAGCACGGCAGTGCAACACCCCTTTCTGGGGCCTTCATGGTCTGACAGTAGGAGAAGCACTGTGTTTTGAGGGGAACCTTGTCTTGGACGATAATATTCCCTCTCCTTGAACGTACTCATTTTGGTCTCCTGAAAACCTCCACGCTCCTGTTGTTCTGAGGCTGTGTCCCTTAGACCACGGCCCCCTCTACATAAAACTATAGAGAAGAAAGTGAGGGTGGAGTCTCTCAACAATCATGCCCTTTGGGAAAGTGGCTACCTCTTTCCAAACTCAAGGTCTTCCCATCTGCCGCCTCCCGCCCCCCAACGCCCTGGGTCCCGGACGCTCTTTCTGCTGATCCTACTCACCCCTTCAGCTGAAACCACATCTTCTCATCAGACGCACAAGGCACAAGTCAGGAAACTGCGCTCTGGGGAGACTGCTTGGGCTTTGAAGGACTAGAGGTAAGGGCGTGGTTGGAGGGGCTTGATGAACAGAAAGTGGGGAGGAGCGTCCTTCCCCAAACACCTCCCCATGCTTTGTGGTTGGACCTGGTACTAACTGTACATCTGGCTAGAATCCAGCTTCCTCAGACAAATGTCCTATTTTCTCTGTCCACCCTTATCTGCCACCATGGGAAAGTCAGAACATCCAGCAGGGCCCTACTGCTTGGGGCCACCCTGGTGTCACAGTAGTGATATAGCTCCATTCTGAGGGAACTTTGTGTTCTGCGGCGTGTGTGGGAGTAAGCGTCACTCCTCTAAACTGCTCGTTTTTATTTCTGAAGACTTCTACCCTGTTGTTGTCCTGAGGTTGAGAGCCGAAGCCCAAGGCCCCCATTTTAAGATCCCAAAGGAGGAAAGGAAGCCAGCACTTCGAAACATCCTGCCTAAGTCCTCTATATGTTGACAATGAATTCACTGCCGTCGAGTCAAAGCTGAATCTTAGCGTCACTGAGACTCAGCATTGACTCGAAGGCAGTGCACTGTAAGTGTTTATTGGAGTAGAACGCCTAGTCTTTCTCCTGAAAGGTTGACAGTAGAACAGGTTTTTGTCAACCTCCATCTGGTGGTATAGTAGTTACACATTCAGCTGTGCATCAAAAGGTCCACAATTCAAAATCATCAGCCACTCTGAGAGAGAATAAAGGGGCTTCCAACTCTTAGAAAGTGGAGAAAGGAGGGGTGCCACCCACGGGAGTGGGCAGGGAGCTCTGTCCTCATAGCCACAGCCCTCCTTCCCTGCCTTCTGTCTGTGGACTCCTGTAAGTCTGGTTTGAGCTCAGACTCCTTAGACAAATGCCCCAATTTATCTGCTCCTAAGACGAAGCTTCTATCCCTACTTTGAGACCCTGGAGAAGGGAGGGAGGGTAGGGTACTGTGCCTCTGAACACTAAGCCTTGAAATCTGACTTTTTTGGGGTGCCCTCTGCCCTCCCTGAGGGTCCTTGTCTTTCGCCTTGGCACAGCCTGGCCCGTGGCTCTGCTGAGTGGACTTTGGCTCCCTCAGACCAAGCAGCACCTCTGTCTACTGCCTAGCGCTAGTCTAGAAAGGGCAGGTGCAGGCGCCCTGTCACCAAGATGGGGAGGCTTCAAAGGGTTCATGGAAAAAGGGAATTTTAAAAGCCTATGGTTTTATTCCCCCTTCTGCCACCTTCACTGTGAGCCCCGCCCATCTCCTTGAACCCAGGAAAAGGAAGGCAGAGGAAGCTCTCAGCGCCCTCCCCTGGCTGAGCATATTCAGATCCCCGTATGTAGACCTTGCAACTCCTTTCCAATAGGGGGTGCTAGTTAGGCTTCTTACAGCTCCCAGCAAAGGGCATGGTAAGCGAGGGTCAGGGAGCAGAGTGGAGGCCAGGGGGGCCACTCGTGTGAGCAGGTGTCTCTGTCCACCCTTCATCACTGTCCCCCAGCCGCCATGACACTTGTCTGGCTTGAGTTCGGTCTCCTTAGACACACGTGGGAATTTCTGGGTCACCATCCCTTCTAGCCACCCCATAGAATCAGAAACGCCAGTGGGCCCCTCTGCCTGTGGGTTCCGCGGAGTGGGGGTGGGTGGGGAGACTCTCTGCCATCCATGACCGTCCCCCAGCCGCTAAGACACTTGTCTGACTTTCGTTCGGTCTCCTTAAACACACGTGGGAATTTCCGGGTCACCATCCTTTCCCGGCACCCCAGAGAGTCGGAAACGCCAGCAGGTTCCCCTGCCTGCGGGTTCCACGGAGTTGGGGAGGGGGAGTTTCTCTGCCCTCCATGACCATCCCCCAGCCGCCATGACACTTGTCTGGCTTGAGTTCGGCCTCCTTAGACACACATCCGAATTTTGGGGTCACCATCCCTTCCCGCCATCCCAGAGAGTCAGAAATGCCAGCAGGTCCACATTCCTGAGGATTCTGCAGAGTGTGTTCGGGGGGATTCTCTCTGCCCTCCATGACCGTCCCCCAGCCGCCATAACACTTTTCTGACTTGAGTTCGGCCTCCTTCTAAGGTGACCAGACGTCCCGCTTTTGGCGGGGACAATCCCGATTTTTAACGATTTTTCCCGCGTCCCGCAGCGTTTTTAAAAGTCCCGATTTTTAGAAAGAATGCACGACAAGCTAGGGTATACGGCTTTTGGCTGCCACATGGCTATTTCGCCAGGATATGAGTTTTATCAATGGTGTCCCGCTTTACCAATGTTAAAATCTGGTCACTTTACCTTAGACACATGTGGGAATTTCGGGGTCACCATCCCTTCCTGCCACCTCAGAGTGTCAGAAATGGCAGCGGGTTCCCCTCCCTGCGGGCTTCACGAAGTGGGGGGTGGGGAGTCTCTCCACACTCCATGACCGTCCCCCAGCTGCCATGACACTTGTCTGGCTTGAGTTGGGCCTCCTTAGACACATTTCCGAATTTCTGGGTCACCATCCATTCCCACCACCCCAGAGAGTCAGAAAGGCCAGCAGGTCCACTTGGCTGTGGGTTCCGTGGAGTGGGGGTGGAGACTCTGCCCTCCATTACCGTCCTCCAGCTGCCATGACACTTGTCTAGCGGAGTTCAGCCTCCTTAGACCCACGACCTTATTTCCGGGTCACCATCCATTCCCACTACCTCAGAGAGTCAGAAACGCCAGCGGGTACCCCTGCTTGCGGGCTCTGCGAGTACCACGTGTTCAGGGTCGACTGAGGTTTCGAGAAACCCCCACTTTTCATAAAAGTCCTCGTTTTCACCCCAGAAAACCCTCCATCGCGTTGCAGGCCCGAGGCTCGGGCCCAAGGCCCAAGCCACCTCAGCCTGGAGGAAGAAGGGCACGTAGAGGCGCGTCTGAGGGGCCCTGCCCAAAGCCGCCAAGCCCGGATGGAAGGCCCGGTCTCTTTGGGGTCCTTCCTGGCTGGGGGGTCCCCTCTGAGCTCTCCAAGGCCTTACCTTGCCACCCAGCAGGGTCTGGATCCCTCCTTCAGCGGAACCCTCTCAGCCGAAGGTGGCGGTCCCTCAGACTGACAAGGCGCGAAAGAGGAAGGTGCATCCGGGTATCCTGCCCTGGGGCCTGCGACAAGTGTTGCCAGGGGCGGGGCGAGCCAGATGGGGCGGGGTTACAAACCCCAGCTCAGCCGTGGGGTGTGGGGGGGTGTGTCCTCGAGCCTCTGCCAAGTGCGTGAGGGGGCGTCGTCAAATAATTCGTCCAAAGAGGGTTTTAAAAGACAGGGCCTGAACTTCTGAAAACAACACGCCTTTCTTCACAAAGAACCCCTCACTTCTGCGATCCTCAGCTGAACACTCCCTCCCCCCACACATATACATACATACACACACATGCAGGCACACACACGACCTTGGAGGAAGAGGGTGGCAGCTCTGCGCACCCTGCCGGGAGCCTCCACATTTTCACAAGAGCCTTCAGATTTTTGTAACACCCCCCCACCCTTGTGCTGAAGTCCCCAGAATCCTTCTTCAGGGTCCCCACTTGGACACTCCAAGCCAAGCCGAACCCCCGCCCCCAACCCCCCAACCCCTAGGTCTCTGTACCCTGCCCCCTGCTGATCGGACTGACCCCTTAGCCCAAGCCAGGTGTCCCTCAGGGTGCTAAGGAGCAAGTCAAACCCGCACCCGGGTTGGGGGCGTATAATCTTCCCTGTCACTGTACACGGCCTCCCCAGTCCCATCTTGAAGGGAAGATGGCACGTCTGAAAGCTGTGCCTGGAATCATCAAGCCTTGGCAGAAAAGGATGGAATTCTATAGAGGTCTCCTCTAGGGGAGACAGTCACGTTTGTCCTCCCTCAGGGTCCTCAACTTGTCTCCCACCCCTCACCTTCCGGAAATGCCTGGATCCCTTCCTCTCCTGACCCCCACTCCAGCCACCTCAGATGAAGCCATTTTTCCCTGAGACGGACAGGGCGTACTGTCAGGAAACAGCATAGTCAGTTTCCCCCCAGGCTCTTCACAAGGACCCTTGGCCAATCCTTAGGCCTCCCATCTCACCTGCATTTCCCCCCACCCAGCCTCAGACCAAGGCTGACCCTTGTTTGATAGCAACCCCTGCCCAGGGGTGGGGGAGGGGTGGTGTGTGTGCTCAGCTTGACAACCCTGTCTTGGATCTTCTGCATTTACGGGTATGTCAGAGGTGGAGTAGAATTCAGTTGGGCTCCTTTCCTAGAAGGAAGGTACCCCTCAGAACTCACTTATTTGAGGGTTCTTATTTTGTCTTCGAGGGTTTTGCTGTAATGCTGCCTGGGATATTCATCTTCTCTGCCAGATTCCAGGATTTGTCAAATGGTAACGCTTGCAGAGAAAGGTTTTGATTCTCAGACTAGTTGCCAGATAGAGGAGCTAGGTGCTGGATTAGGGAGCTATTTGGCCTAGGGAGCTACTTGGTCCATGACACGTGGTTGATTGCCTGAGAAGAGTAATTCCTTCCCATGGATCTCTTCCTCAACAGACCTAGGCTTTAGAGAACATTTGTCCTAATGATTTCCTACCCAGAAAGTTCATAGAAAAAGTCCATTATATTTTTATTTCATTTCGGCTATGAATTTCTTGAATTTCCCTCCTAGATGTATATAAATTTAAAGCCAACTCTTAACTCATTGAAGTGGCTTCAGGTGTTTCTTCTTACATAACCTAGGGCCCTACTGTCTCAATCACCCCCATTTTTCCTACTGTCTTTATATTACCACATGGCTACTGTCACTTCTGATTTCTGTAATGAAGCAGAAGAAGTTCAAACCCCTGCCTCTACTCTCCTCACATCTATCATTTCTTGTAGGTCATAGACATTCCCCCACTTTCCTCCCCCTTCCACTTCCAACAGCACCCACTCCGCTCTAGTGGTTTCTTTTGTTATTCAAATTTTTCTTCTATATATTTTTTTGTTTTCATCCTGCCTTCTAGTGTTTCCAAGACTTGGTTTTGGGAGGAGACAATAGTCTGTGGTTGATTGTTTTCTTGGCAGCTAAAGGTAAAGCTTTAAATCTGTAGT